TGGGGGGGGGGGGCAGGCAGGGACAACTATATGCGAATATACAATACGTGCAGTTAGAAAGGTTTGTGCTAAGACATCTTTTAGTTAAAACATTCTGCTTAAACGTTTCTTTTTTTTTTCTGATTGTAGGTAAACTTACAGGTCTTTTGCTCTCTTTTAAAAAAAGAGAAAGTCAATATAACACGACTCTTACACTGACAGTATAATTGACAACATTACCAACAAGCAGAAGGCAGAGGGGGGTAGCACTTAGTATCTAAGTGGTTCCAAGTGGCATGAGCTTTTGTAGGTGACTGCCTACTACATTAGATGAAGCCTATTTGTAATTTCAACCCTCTTCACATGTGACAGTCTTGGGACTTTCATGTACAGGTGGGAAAACAAGTTATTAAAACCTTTTGTAACTGAGGTTTAACATAAAGCTTTGCCTATTATTCATTAAAGTAAATATGAAACTTTAAATTAGGAAATAGCATCCAATTTTCCACTTGTTAAACTTCAACAGTAAATTCATGACATTTTATTTCAAATGCTGCCAACAATTTATCAATTGTGGGTAAAACATTTCCTAAAAATTCAAATGCATTTCTCAATTTACTTAAAGGCCTTCCTATAGGTAGACTGAGACAACGAGTGAAAGGCTTTGACATGTCTAGGAACTATGATGCCATATTAGCTTACTGGGGAGCCAACAACAAATACAATACTAACTACTAAATGGAGATACACAGAGAAAAAAACCCAGCAACAACATTTATTGCCAAAAAGAAAAAAGGTGTCACATACCCCAACAATCCTTCTCATAGCATCCAATTTAGCAGAATCTTTATTACTTTCCAACATCTGCTTTAGGTCTTCATTTCTACAGTAATGGGAGGAGAAAAGACTATAAGAAAGTGTAATACTGTCAAAAAAAAACATTTATGCAACACTTAACTTTATTCTTGCAGATCAATAAGTCAGCAAACTTGCACAACTAAACAGTCCAGAAACATATACTAATTTTGGCTTCTCAGATGGGCTGCCATTTTACACAAAAGAAAAGGGTAATGGTACAAGTAGCAGTCAAAACCAAAAAGTATAACACATGATTAGTAGTGTCAGCACATTCCTCCTAGGAAAGGGTTGTAACATTACCTGTTATCACTGCTTTTTAACTTTACAGGATATAAAGCCCTCCACATTCTTGCCTCCTTCTATACTCTTAAAGAACCCACATCATTAATCTCGAAAATGGGGATGGGGGAGAGGAAGCCCCCTTGGGTATGCATAGCCCAAGCCTTTGAAGACTTTTACCAGAAGACTTATAGGTCTGCCATTAGGATTTAGTTTTCACTGACTCACTCGGTGAAAGTAATCACCAAAAAGCTGTCTTCAAAAAAGTCTTGCAGCAAAACAGATGCCATTGTTTCAAATGGTGATGCACTACTGCAGTAAAGACAAAGATTGGATCCTGAATGCAGAAGAATGTCTTTGCCCATCCCTTCAGAAATCTCAACACAATAGGCTGCGAGAAAACTGGATAGTCCTTGACAGGGGGCGACAGATTAAATTTACTGCTGGGTAAACTTTGAATTAGATAATGGGTCCAAATACCTCAGTTCCAACAGGTAGTTTAGAATCAAGGACAGCATTGGGGAAACACCCCACATTAGATGCCATAACAAGAATCTGGATCACTAAGCACAAGTAGGTACACCTTGTGGAGCCTTTCTTGTCATGTATCATACTGCATCTGTCAGAGGTGAAACAGATGCACTCCAGGTACAAAAACCATCCAGCATCCGTGCAGGTAGGTGAAGTGAGTACAGACCTAAGAGCAGTCATCGTCCTGGGAGAGCAAACTGGGGAGCAAAAACAGAAGGTGTTTTTGCAATTAGGTGTTCGTGTGTGCCAAAGGTCCTGGACCAGGCATATGCCATCAGGGTGACCCAAGCTTTGTTTTGCTGTACCTTCATGGCCCAGGGAATTGGGGGGTGAGGGGAAGATATATAATAGACTCTTCCACCAGTCTCATTAAAATAAAAAAAGAAAGCCTTGAGCTGGCACTATTTCACTCCAATGCAAACAGGTCTATTTTTAAAGAGCACTCCAGACCAAGAACAGAGTTCTTGACTTCCCACTCATGACAAAATGCAATGACACTGCTCAGACAGTCCACTACCTAAATGTAGAGACAAAAGATGGATACCGTGGTAAATGCACACAAAGCCAGGAAGCTTCACTGTTCATATTCGTTAGTTGTGGACCATTGTAGTTAGCTGAAGAGAAATGCCCTCAGTTTGGATATTAAGAGAAACTCAGGGACAAAAGAGCATGCTCCACCTTTTTTCTCCCTCTGTGGAGGGGTGGCCCCCACTATAAGTACTGCTAAGGCAACAAGTCTTTGTTCAGAGGCTTGGGAGCAAAAAAATGCGTTATAACTTAGCAAGAGAGCAAGTTTCCTCATCTCGAATCTGCCTGAGCTACACCATTGGCTAGAATCATAGAAAGTTAGGGTTGGAAGAGACCTCAGGTGGTCATCTAGTCCAGAGGTTCCCAAACTTTTTCTTATTGCATACCCCCTTCCAGATTTACCAGCTGTCCGCATACTGCTACCAACATATATGTTTTATATTCTAACCCCCTAAATGCCAATAATAATGAAAATTAAGTCCACCTTCCTCCTACATACCCCACATGGATGTCCTGCGTACTCCCAGGGGTATGTGTACAACAGTTTGGAAACCCCTGATCTAATCCAATCCCCTCCTCAAAGCAGGACCATCCCCAACTAAATCATCCCAGGCAAGGTTTTGTCTACCTGGGTCTTAAAACCCTCCAGGGATAGAAATTTCACAACCTCTCTTCGTAACCTGGTTCCAGTGCTTTACTACCCTACTACCAGGAAAGTTCTTCCTAATATTTAACCTAAATTTCCCTTGCTGCAACTTGAGACCATTGTTCCTTATTCTATCATCTGCCACCAATGAGAACAGTCTAGCTCCATCTTCTTCACCCTTCAGGTAGTTGAAACCTGTTATTAAGTTAATCTGTCATGAGGCTGCCTCCTCCATTTAGTAAAGCACCCACACTTTCCCTGATCTTCCTCAACAACAAAAGGTCCAGCTGTTGTGATAACATTAGTGCCAGATGTCATGGTTGATACCCATTAGGACCTAGACCCATCATCAGCTCACTTTAAAAACCACCGAGTCAATTAAATGCCAGCTTTCAACAAGGGCCATTGTTCATTAAGCTATTATATGTTATTTCCACCCTCCACTTACTTCAAAATCCTCCAGTATTACCTTGTATGTAAAGCCAAAGTACTCCAATAGCTGAAGAATGTTTCAGTCATGCATGTAGCAACCTACAGCTGCTGTCTACTTCATTTACCTTTGGTTTCCACAACTGTGGAAAACCACAATTTTTCACCTTCGGTCTCTGTCAGAAGCTTGACCCTGCTCAACTGAAGAGTCATAGCTCACAATACAGCTGAGGTACTTTATCACAATAAAAGACCCCTTCACAGCCCTTATTTTTAAGCATTTAAAGCAATCCAAAAATCTAAGTCCCAGGGGACTCACAGAAATCAACAGGATCTACAATAAAGTTGTAGAACTGGGCTGCAGACAACAAAATAAAATAATTCAAAGACAAAAAAATACGGTGTAACCTGAGGAGAGAGGATGTTTACAGACAGAATAAGGGACAGGTGGCTAGAAAGTAACACTGCTTACCCTACCATAAGACAGTAACACTGCCAAATGTGTCCTCAGCGTCATGATGGATCAAACTCAACACATGTTAGCAATGTAATGCCATTGCAAGAAACAAAACAACCCCCCCAGAAAGAACAGGAAACAAACAGATGCATTCTTAGGCTGTATTCACCTAAGTATTGCATTTAAGACATGGAAGGTGATGATACCACTCAGCATGGGTTGGGCCTCAGCAATTTTAGTGCTTCCAGTTCTAAGCACTTCTTTTTAAGAATGATACAGGAAAACAGACACCAAGAGAAGCAAGATTTAGATAAAACTGCAGGGGGGAATAAAAGTTATACGTGCAAAGACCATAAGATAAAGGAACAAGAAATTTCCTCATTTGGGTGTTTTCACAAAAGAGATGGATAAGCATGTTTGGGATGGTTTAAGAACAGCATATTCTACATTTGTGCAGGGGGTTGAAATCCTCGAGTACTCACCCTATCCTACAACTCAGTTCTAAACTTACTGACTATAAGAGTTTTTACCTGCTCACAGGAACAGGCTGCTGCCAGAGCAGGATTTTTTTTAGAACAGATTTTCATATTAAATAAAAGGACAAGTGCAAGGTTCTGTTCTTAGCCTGGAAGAATCACACGTACAAACAAACTGGGAAATGACTGGCTATACTGCTGTCCTGCCCAAAGACCCAGAGGATATATTAGTCCATAAGCAGAATGACAGCCAACTGTGTGCTCTTTTTGCCAATATAAGCCTATAATAGCATACTGAGCTGTATTAACAGAGGTGTCACCTGCAAGTCAAAGGAAACAACTCTGTACTGGCAGGGCCTCACCTCAAGTACTGCATCCAGTTTTGGCACCACACTTCAAGACATACACGGGCAAATTTGAGTCCAGAAAGAGCAACTGAAATTATTAGGGATCTAGGAGACATCATACAAAAAGACTTAACATTTCTCAAAGCCAAAAAGTGCTACAATTATAAACGAGCCAAAGACAAAAAACTAACTGTGAGAATGGTTACTCCCCACAAAAAAAAACAAACCAGAAGCAAGCAGAGAGCCTACCAGGTACAGAAAACAGAACTAATCAGCAAGAAGAGACATACTTTAGGCTTTTGAGATCAAGAAGCACTAGGATAAAAGTAAGTTACCAAAATACAAGCCAAGAAATTTTGCAATGGTAATTAAAACAAATAGCAAAAGGTTCTTCAGCCATATACATAAAAAAGAAAACAAAGCAAGATTAAGTAGAGCTATTATGCAGTGAAAACAGGAAAGACAAGAGAAGGTCAATCTAGGTATGGCCCAAAAGCCATACCTAAAACCACACCAAAACACATAGGTTATAAAAATGGGTCAAAGCATATATGCATACTTGCTTGGCTACAGTTTGCCATAAAGACACTGATATGGACATAAAAGGTGGCATGGCTATTGACATTGTGAATAATAATCCAAGTTACCACATCTGAAGCAGCAGCAAAGATTAAAAAGCTTTAATGTATTCACATTGAGGAGGACAAAAAAAATTGAAAGACTGGCACACTAAACTGCAGGTCCTGTAGCAGATAACAGATGTCAAAGAAGTCAAGGATAACTTTTTTACTCTGAAAACAGCATGTGAGATAACTATTCAAAAGGAGGAAAGGAAGAGGTACCCAAGTCGCTACAGACATACCTGTCTTAGTTCAAGCAGTATGCAAAGATTCAAAACAAGGTTTTGAAGGAAATAATTAAAGATATGGAAAATAAAACATGAAATTTCCCTTTGTCGACATGATAGCTGATTTTTTTTTTTTTTAGACAAAGAAATTGCGGTTCTAATGCATCTTGACTTCAGTAAAGCATTTGAAATAGTGCAACAGGAGAATTATTAGTGAATGGAGATAAGGAGTTAGAACAACTCTAAAAGGTGCGTATGGACTGGCTGAAGGGGAAACAACCGGTTACACTGAAAGGGTAAGTATCAATGCTGAAGAGAGGTTACTAGAGTAGTTCCTCTCAAGACAGGTCTTGGAAGAGACCTCACTTACAAGTTTAGTTAGCTTGGCACATAAAATAGGAGTATGCTAATAGCATTTGCTGATGACGCCAAAGTTGTAAGCATCAGAGGACTGGAACATCATACATCAGCTGAATCACCTGGAG